GCAGAGGGCTCAAGCCAGGACAGGCAATCGACACAAGTGACATCCAGCTGGCCACACCCATCCCGGCCCCCTGTGGTCAAACACAACCCTGATGCGGCCCTCAATGAAATAGAGTTTGACACCCCTGGTGTAGAGAGATATCTAGGTGACCAAAGCTGCACATGGAGTTTAAACCCAGTTCAGTCTTCATGGCCAAACAAGATCTGGTCATTTTGGCAGCCAGTGCAGCGGCAAGATTGTTTTTGGTTTTCTGGTGCTGTACATGATGCATTGCAACAGTTTCCCTATTTGCAGGGGCTGGGGTAGGTGTGTCCCACATGTGACACGACTGGCTCAAGAGTCTGAAACTCCTATATATTGTATATACACATACATTTAAAAAAAGTATAAATCATAATTATAATGACAAGTGCCCATTGTTTCTTTTTCATTACTAAATTCATCTCGCTATGGCTGTCAGAAAGTTGAAGCACAGCAAAAACCCTTTCCAGATTTCAGTCTGTAAATTGTAAATCCATACATACAATCCATTAAATCAATAATTAGCATACATTCCCATCTAAATTAATCATTGTTTAGGAATTCTGCAGTCTATGAATTGTGTTATGGGAAATGAGACTATGGGGTGTGCTGAAGCCCTTTCCACATTCCATGCATTTATATGGCTTCTCCCCTGTGTGGATTTTTTGATGGGATGTAAGTTGACTGCTTGTTCGGAATCTCTTTCCACACCATGCATTTATATGGTTTCTCCCCGGTGTGGATCCTTTGATGGGATGTAAGTTTACTGTTTGTTCTGAAGCTCTTTCCACACTCCAGGCATTTATGTGGCTTCTCCCCTTTGTGGATACTTTGATGGCAAGTAAGATCTTTGTTTGTTCTGAAGTCCTTTCCACACTCCAAGCATTTATATGGCTTCTCCCCTGTATGGATCCTTTGATGGGATGTAAGTTGAGTGCTTGTTCGGAATCTCTTTCCACACTCCATGCATTTATATGGCTTCTCCCCTGTGTGGATCCTTTGATGGGATGTAAGTTTATTGTTTCTTCTGAAGCTCTTTCCACACTCCAGGCATTTATGTGGCTTCTCCCCTGTGTGGATCCTTTGATGGCATGTAAGATCTTTGCTTGTTCTGAAGTCCTTTCCACACTCCATGCATTTATAGGGCTTCTCCCCTGTGTGGATCCTTTGATGGGATGTAAGATCACTGCTTGATCTGAAGGTCTTTCCACACTCCATGCATTTATATGGCTTTTCCCCTGTATGGATCATTTGATGGGATGTAAGATGACTGCTTGCTCTGAAAGTCTTTCCACATTCCATGCATTTATATGGCTTCTCCCCTCTGTGCATTCTTTGATGCCTTGTAAGATTACTGTTTGTTCTGAAGTCCTTTCCACACTCCATGCATTTGTATGGCTTCTCCCCTCTGTGCATCCTTTGATGGGAGGTAAGATTACTGCTTGATCTGAAGTCCTTTCCACATTCCATGCATTTATATGGCTTCTCCCCTGTGTGGATCCTTTGATGGGTACTAAGGCTACACTTTTGGCTAAAGCCCTTTCCACATNGAGAGGCAAGAGGAAGAAGAGAGGGTTAGGAGAGAGGGTAGAGGGGAGGGGAAGAGAAGGAGAGAAAGAAGGAGTGGAAAGAGGAGAGAGGAAGGTGAAATAGAGAAGAGAAGGATGACAGAGGGAAGAAAGGAGGTAGAGAAGAGGAGGAGAGAGGGAGAAGCACATGATGGATAGGGTATAAATATGGTATATGGAGAGCAGAAGAGTGAATCATAGTCTCTGGGGGTTGATGGTAAGACAAATTGATATAATATTGAATAATACAAAATTGTGTTGATTATGTAATGGTATCCATGTGGTTATGTGTATGAAAATGAAAAAATAAAAAAAAGGAAATAAAAAGGAAAGCCTCTGGAGGCCGGGGAGGGCGGAAAACGGCCTCAATGGGCCAACCAGAAGTTCATTTACAAATTTTCTTTATTTTTTATTTTTTTAATTTTTTTGAATAAAAAACAAATAAAATCATCCTCCATTACAAATGGTAAAAAGTGTGTCAATTGGTTACAAAGAGTTTTTGTGCATCTCTTCCACAGTCATTATCTCTGATTCATATCAAATGATCTATTTTACATCACATATACGTATATATATTGTTATCATCATACCTCATCCTTCATATGACTATAGTTGTTTTAACGTCTCTTATAACAAATATTCCAAAATTTAAAACAAAACCACATAGTGGCATTCCCTTATCTATTTTCAATATCATCTAACCACATTATACCTTTATAACACATTCAAAATATAAAATTAATTATATTTAATAACAAAAAAATTAAACCTCTTTTCTTAATAATTGTTTACAATTTATATCCAATTTGCCTTTTATCCTGTCAATACAAATTATTACATTGTTATTATTATCGGTCATTTATTTAACAATAGTTTGACTAAGATTAACTTACTTTCCCCCCTTTTTTTCACCATTTAAAATATTTACCATATGGGATGATAAAAATAAAACGCACAAATGCTTTCAAAATCATTTAATCAGAAGAGTGTTATTGCAAAAAGGGCTCAAAATTTAAAAAGAAATCCACTATGTTCTGTTGGCNACCACTCCTCCTCAGAGAAATAAACAGCCACCTCCTCAAAGGACAGAAAAACCTCCTGAAAGGGGAAAAAATACAGAACAGACCAAGGAAGAACTGCAGAATCTTTTCTATTGTTTAGAAATTTCCAAAGCAAAGCTATGCATTAAGGTAAGTGGCTATGCTTACTAGGATCCATGGTTTAGATGAGGAAATAGGAATATAAAAAGCATTTGACTAAAGAAAGATTTTAGGCAGGTTTTATCAACTTGAATGATTCTGTAGGACTTTCACTGCCATTTTGGTTAAATAAGCCCCGTTTCCTTCTGGATCAATTGATCTAACAAACATCCAGCCAGCCAGCTAGCCATTATCAAAATACTCTGCTGCTCTGGCACCTGCGGCAGCAGGAACAGCAGCAATGGCAAGAGCCCCACCGCCCAGCTGGATTCACCAAAAGCAGTGCCATCAGCAATGGGACATGCTCGTGAAGGGAGAGCCAGAACTGATTGCCCGGGATTGTGTTTCTGTTGCTGCTGCTGCAGCCTCCAGAGATTCTTTCCCTGCTTTGTTTCGGGCAGAAAAGCGACGCTTCTGAGAGGCTTTCCCTGAATGGCACCATAGGCCGCCTCACCTCCTTCTGCCCTGCCGAAGAAAGAGCAGCTCCCCTCTCCCCTCTTACTTTTCTCAGCCTACGCTGGGTGGGGGAAAGTGCCTTTTGGTGGCCCACCTGGGGGACCACCGCGCATCCTCCATGGGTAGCAGGTTGCAGGGGTGACCGCAGGTGAAGAGCAGTGAGGGGTTTTGGCAGTGCGAGAGAAAGACTTCAAAGCCTGTGGAGGTGGTGTGTAGCTGATTCTGACTTTCTCTGGGTGCAAAATACTTTAAAAAATAAAGTTTTAGTTTTTTGGGGGGGGAGGGGGTTTAAAAGGATTAAGGGTGCAAGGTTGTTGTAACTTAACAGCTTTAAGACTTGCGCACTTCAAATGCCAGCGTTCCTGAGCCAACATGACTGGAGGAGGAATTCTGGAAGTTGAAGGAAAATGAAAATGTAATAAAAGAATCTTTGATTAGAAGAGCAATACCACTAAAAAAAAAAAAAAAAAAANGAGATGAAGAGTGTGGAAGAGAGGAGAGAGGCAAGAGGAAGAAGAGAGGGTTAGGAGAGAGGGTAGAGGGGAGGGGAAGAGAAGGAGAGAAAGAAAGAGTGGAAAGAGGAGAGAGGAAGGGGAAGTAGAGAAGAGAAGGATTACAGAGGGAAGAAAGGAGGTACGGAGGATGAGGAGAAAGGGAGAAGCACCTTAGGGTATAAATATGGTATATGGTGAGCAGAAGAGCGAATGATAGTCTTTGGGGGTTGGTGGTAAGACAAATTGATATAATATTGAATAATATAAAATTTTGTTGATTATGTAATGGTATCCAGGTGGTTATTTGTATGAAAATGAAAAAATAAAAAAAACTTTTGAAATAAAAAGGAAAGTCTCCGGAGGCTGGGGAGGGTGGAAAACGGCCCCAACGGGCCAATCAGAAGTTCATTTCCAAATTTTCTTTTTTCCCCAATTTTGTTTTATTTTTTCAATAAAAAACAAACAAAATCATCCTCCATTGCAAATTGTAAAAAGTGTGGCAATTGGTTACAAAGAGTTTTTGTGCATCTCTTCCACAGTCATCACCTCTGATTCGTATCAAATTATCTATTTTACAACACATATACTTATATATATTGTTATCATCATCCTTCATCCTTCATATGACTATAGTTGTTTTAATGTCCATTTATAACAAACATTCCAAAATTTAAAACAAAACCACATAGTGGCATTCCCTTATCTATTTTCAATGTCATTTAATCACATTATACCTTTATAACACATTCAAAATATAAAATTAATTATATTTAATTACAAAAAAATTTAAAACCTCTTTTCTTAATAATTGCTTACAATTTATATCCAATTTCCCTTTTATCCTGTCAATACAAATTATTACATTGTTATCATTATCAGTCATTTATTTAACGATAGTTTGACTAAGATTAACTTACTTTTCCCCCTTTTTTCACCATTTAAAAAATTTACCAAATTTCCTCTTATTATACCATTACAAATATATACATTTTTATCCTTTATCTAATTTTATCCATTAACACTACACTTTTACATAATGCTCTAATTTTGACAAAATTTTTAAACCTCTTTTCTAAATTATTGTATACAATTTATACCCAATTTTCCCTTTTATCATATCAATACAAATTATTACATTATTATCATTATCAGTCATTTATTTAGCAATAGTTTGATTATATTTAACTTACTTTTTCCGCTTTTTTCACCTTTTAAAAATTTATACCAAATTTCTTCTTGTCAAACCAATATATATGTGTACATTGTTATCATTATCTATTATTTACCTAACTTTATCATTATCACTACATTTTTAACATA